GCACCGTTCCAGCACTCCCGGCCCGCCAGCCCCCGCGGTGCTCCCTCTAAACCCTCCGTGCTTCTCCGCAGCCGAGCCCGGAACCCTCGCGCGGCGTGCGCGGTTTCCGGCGGGCGGGCCGCGCGGACCGCGGTGCCGGAAGCGCTGCCGCTGCCCTTGCCCTCGGGGCTGTCGCTGCGGCGGCTCCCGGGCCGCTCCCGCTCCCTCCCGGCCCTCGCCATGTGGCGGACGCGGGCGGCGGCGGCTTGGTAAGCGGGACGGGCCCCGGCGGGCTGCAGGCGGAGCAGCACAGCCGGTTGGGTGCGAGGTGCGGCGGTGAGCGGCGCAGGGCTGGGCCTGAGGCTGCTGCAGGTGGCAACCTGGCAGCCCCGGGCTGGGCAGTTTCCCACCTTCCAGCTCCCCTGGGACCTGGGGGAGGCCCTGCATGTAGGAGGGGGCTGCTTCTCCCGCGTTCTCGCTCTGGGGAGCTCAGGCCGCTTTCGTGTTCAGGCGTTGTCCCTCCCAGCATCTGCCTTGCGTCCCGCTTGTTTTCCACCCGTTCGACTATGGCATTCCCGGCTGGCGCAGTGGCAGTGACTGGTGGATAATAGCACGATGTTCCTCGGAGAATTTCATAGTCATGAAATGGTGTGGGTTGGAAAGGGAACGTGAAGATCATCTAGTTCCAGCTCGTATTTGGGAGCAGCAGTGGGAAAATAAGCGTTGTCTAGTGCTGAGTGAGAAAGAAAATGCCACCGTGCTGTTTGTTGGGTTACGTTTGCTTTGTAGTCACAGGCTTAGCGGGCCACTTTTTTGTGTTCTGCAAGACAGTTATAACCTCAGTGCAGTGTTGCAGGTTGCAGGCCTGTGAATCAGGCAGAGCCACTTGTGTCTGGAAGGATGGTTTTATTGTTAAAGCCAGCCTTGCAGAAACTTGAAATTTGGAGCTCATTCAGTGCTTCATTTAATAGCATTGTTCTGCCATACTTTTCAGTCTGGCTGTACTTTTCATTGAAGAGCTCAAGGTGGTTTTTTGGTTATCAAGAGACTTAGCAGGAGGAGGAGGGAGGAAATAGAAAATGGAAGTGTGGGTGTGATAGAGGAGTAGTGGGGGTTTTAATAAACCACAAGGTTTTGCATGTGCAAGTAAAGCAGTTGAGTTTGAAATATGCAATAACACTCAAAAGGAAGTTGTGAATTAAGGTTTTGCCAGACTACTAATGGAAT